CATTGAGTCAATTCTGACTGATAGCGACCCTACAGGACAGAGTAGAACTACCCCATAGGGTTTCCAAGGAGCAGCTGGTGGATTCGAACTGCCAGCCTTTTGGGTAGCAGCTGAGCTCTTAACCACTGTGCCACCAGGGCTCCTTGGTCAGAGAGGGGCAGCTAATACCCAGAGGAGGGGCCTCCGTCCCTCACACTCCCCTTGGTCAGTGCACATAGGACATGAAGCCAGGCCTGCTAGCTATGGAAGCAGATCTAGGCCTGCCTCTACTGCTGATTCTCTGGGTGCCCCTCCTCTCTGGACTCAACATGCCAGAGGAAGAAGGAGGGGGTGGGTACAATGGGACAGATGACCTCTAGGCTTCCATTCACCCTGCACATTTCCTTTGCCCTGAAGAAATGAAGATTTGGAGCATTCCAGTTTCAAGCTGTGTCTGCACAGTGGCCTAGGGTAGCAAGCTTTGCTTACCACCCTCACAGCCACACCTGGACCTGCCAGCCAGTTGCCCAAAATAAATGTGTCTGCAGCTAGACAGTGCCAGCACCCAGAACACCCCATTGGCAGAGGCCATGGGGGCTTCTAAAGGGATGAAGAGAGTAAAAGAGATTGCCAGACACACAGGAGACACACAAATACATGCATACCCTGTGTGTACACATGTACACATAAGCCTTCAGGGTCATTCTCAAGCCCAGATATCTATCCAGATCAGCACCTTCACTTGCTCTTAGTCAGCACTTTGTCAAGCCTTTCAAATGTGTTGCTGGGGGTGGGGCCAAGACGGCAGAGTAGTCAGACGCTTCCAGTGTTCCCTTTTACAACAAAGACCCAAAAAAACAAGTGAATCAATTATATATGACAATCTAGGAGCCCTGAACATTAAAGGCAAAGTTGAGGAACTGGACTGTGGCAGGGGGAGGGAGAGACAGTTCAGAAGCAGCAAGGAGTTGCCAGACCTGACCCGGCGAGAGCCTGAGCCCTTCAGCCCAGATCAGTTTGGGGTTGAGCAATGAGGCAGGCAAGCAGCAGCGCTCGGGAGGTGTTTTCCACAATGAGAGAGACCCAGTGGCATAGTCTACTCAGCCAACCAGAACCAATGAGAAGCAGCCCTCGATCAGTGAAAGACAAGTACTTGGGTCTGGCTGACTGCACAGATCAAAAACACCCCCCTTAGGGAGAAACCTCTCTCGCGTTTATCTCCCTGCTTCCTGCTCTGCACTGGGTCCCAGACCGGCTTCAGCAATTGCCGAGTCCCCTGGGCTGGAAGTAGGACTCGTCACGTGCCCTGAGCCATTCTCCCAGCCTTGGAGAGTGAACAGATTAACAAATGGGAAAAAATAATCTGCCAGCTCCCCTAAGCCAGGAGCTTAGGGTAGGCACAGCTATTTCACCTAGGCACAGGCATAAGGGATCCATGGACTTTGAGTGCCTTTCCCCCTGCATAGACTTGTGTGGGCCCATTTCAACAGCATAGGCCCTCATTACCACAGTACAACAGGGTATATACCTGAAGTCTAACTTAAACTGTTACTGCTTTGAAGTGGCAGGTTCGTGACATTTGACACTGTTCTGCCCATTAAGCAGGGTCTTCACGTACCCACATCAGGGGCCTGAGGACTGGTGACTCCACCTATGTCACCTAGCCACCTGCGATAGGGGCCCATGAATAAGAGGCGCCCCCCCAGTCCTTACAGCCAACAGCATTGGGTGCTTGTAGTATGGCTGCAAAACCCACCCATCTACATGGTCTAGGGAACAGGGACATACCTTCCTCTTGGACACTCGGGCGTGGCCGTCAGCCCCCTGCCTTGCTCAGCCTGTGTTTCCCTGCTGTAGCCAGATGCCTGTGCCTGTACCAATCACCTATGCCTGTCTAGAACTGTAGGTGAGAACCTGCACCACACACTTGGTGGCCGACTACCTGGACACCTGAGCTGAATCCATACAGGAGGAGTGGGTGGACTCCTGGGCTCACATATTTAGTGGCAGGTCTGGCCACCTTGGGGCAGGACATTGGAGCTTCAGGGATGCTGGTGACTGGGCTAGCGCACACGAGCAGCCTATTTGGGCATATCAAAACAAAACAACAAGAAGCTAGGATAGGACACAGTAAGCAAACATAAATAAATATAATAACTTGTTGATGGCTTGGAGACAGCAGTCAATATCAAATGACATAAAGAGGCAGTCCATGATGGCTTCAGCAAGCTCCCAAAATAAAGAATCTAGAAATTTTCCAGAGGAAGAAAATTTCTTAGAATTACTGGAGGCAGAATACAAAAGATTAATATACAGAACTCTTCAAGAGATTAGGAAGGAAATTAATAAAAATGCAGAACACGCAATAGAGGAAATTAAAAAGATTAGAGAAGAGCGTAATGACAAATTAACAGGCTGCAAGAATCCATAGACAGTCAAATGTGTTGTTGGGATCTCTCACATCACTGATAAGCTCATTTCACCAAAAATATAGTTTTGAGAGGGCACCTTTGTTTGGGGACTGTTTGTGACCTCCCACTGGAGCAGTGACACCTTTGCTTTTGATGTCACTGCTCCAGTGGGAGGCCACAAACACTCCCTAAATGCAGCAAAACAGAGATGTCACTTTGCAAAGCAGAGATGTCACTTTGAGGACTAAGGTGTGCCTGACCCAAGCCATGATATTTTCAATCACCTCATATGCATGTGAAAGCTGGATAATGAATAAGGAAGACCTAAGAAGAATTGATGCCTTTGAATTATGGTGTTGGCAAAGAATATTGAATATACCATGGACTGCCAGAAGAACAAGCAAATCTCTGTTGGAAGAAGTACAGCCAGAATGCTCCCTAGAAAGATGGCGAGACTTCGTCGCACATACTTTGGACGTGTAATCAGGAAGGACCAGTTCCTGGAGAAGGAGATCTTGGTAGAGTAGAGGATCAGCGAAAAAGAGGAAGACCTTCAGTGAGATGGATTGACACAGTGGCTGCAACAGTGGGCTCAAGCATAATGATTGTGAGGATGGTGTTTCGTTTTGTTGTATGTAGGGTTGCTATGAGTCGGAACCTTGTCAGTGGCACCTAACAACAACTGTGCGGGGGGGTCTTCTGGCATCTAGTGGGTAGAGGCCAGGGATGCTGTTAAACATCCTGCAGGACAGCACCCCACAGCAAAGAGCTACCCAGTCCAAAATGTCAATAGTGCTGAAGTTGAGAAACCCTACTCTAGTGTGACCCAGTGGATTCGTGAGCTTCTGCTTAAAGTCTCCCCCACCAGGAGTAGTGACCTGCTCCTGGGTCCAAGTATTGGGAATAATGCTGTTTAAGGGCCTCTGAAATTAACTTCGCTGCACAAATTTTTGGAAACCAGAATTGTATTTGACTGTAGCGCATTAGAGAGCATCACTGCTGTGCCTTGAGTAACAGCCTTGAGGCAAGCCCCACGTCTCCCAGAAAAGGAAAGAGTCATCAAGACCATCTCAAAAGGAAACAGCAGTTGCTGTCACACTGTGGAAGTGGCAGCTAGGGACTGGAGGTAATCCAGAAGTTGCTCAGTGGTTCTCAGAGTCAGAGCAGAGCTCAGGAAGGTGCCAGCTGTCTGCCATTGCCCAGATTTCTTCCCTTCACAAGAGACTCCTATCACCAGGGACCCTGTTACGGATTGAATTTTGTCCCCCAAAAAATGTATGTCAACTTGGCTAGGCCATGATTCCCAGTATTGTGTGATTGTCCACCATTTTGTCATCTGATGTGATTTTCCTATGTTTTGTGAATCCTACCTCTATGATGTGAATGAGGTGGGATTAGTGGCAGTTATGTTAATGAGGCAGGACTCAATCTACAAGATTAGGTTGTGTCTTAAGTCAATTTCTTTTGAGATACAAAAGAGAGAAGCGAGCAGGGAGATGGGGGGACCTCATACCACCAGGAAACAAGAGCCGGGAGAATGGTGTGTCCTTTGGACCTAGGGTCCCTGTGCTGAGAAGCTCCTCGACCTGGGAAGGTTGATGACAACGACCTTCCCCCAGAGCCAACAGAGAGAGAAAGCCTTCTCCTGGAGCTGGCACCCTGAATTTGGACTTCTAGCCCCCTAGACTGTGAGAGAATAAATTTCTCTTTATTAAAGCTATCCGCTTGTGGTATTTCTGTTATAGCAGCACTAGATAACTAAGACAGACCCCTACAGTAAAGAGGGACACACCTTTCACAAACCTTGCATGTGGGAGGCTGTGGACCAGTGTCTTCTCATCAGGGACTGTGGTGGTGCTGTCCGTTGCCCCCATACCACCATCTGAAAAGGAAGAAGGAAAAGCACAGAAACTGGGACTGCTCGGTGGAAATAGATTTGTTCTCTTACTAGAGTTTCCCGATGATGGTAACATGAAGTGTTCTCGTCAGGTCTGGAACGTTGGCGTCCCAGGGCTGAGGAATGGCTAAGGCCCGGTAGTCCCTACAAATACATGTTCTGTTCCCCTTGAAGGAGGAAGCCGCTCTCTCGTCTGTGGCCTGGGAGTGGACTTGTCATATGTGGCTTGTCCCCTCTACCTAATGCTCCCCTGGAAGAGGACCTGGGGTAGCCAAGGCGTTCCTTGTAATCCGGGGAACTTGTCTCGCTCTCCCTGTGTGTTATGTTGACTTAAGGCTTAGTCTTTTTAGGGAAAACCCTGCTTAAAAGGAGAAGCAAACCAGTTCCTAGAGGGAATTACGGATTAAAGTAAAGTATGAGTTCCTATTTTTATTTTTCAGTTAAGGATTAAATTCCTGGGAGGAGAAGCAGCACTGTTTATTTAAATAAACACAGATTGTCATGAGCCTCAGGAATTAGCCTGGTTTGTCGGGGGAGTGGGTGTCTAGAAGGCAGAATGGAACCCAGTGCCCTAAGGTGGGGAGTCTGGTTTCCTGCTTAGGAATCTGTTCATTAAACCCCACCAAAGTACAGGGGGTGCTTTGGAATTTCTTTTGAGAACATCTTCTACTTCTCTTCAAACCTGACGATGCCTTTTTTGTTTTTTTCCTCAGGGTGACCAGAGGCAGGTCATTCCCATACCAAGTGTATGTATATTTATCCAATTTTATTTCAACATTCCTAGGAATTTGTGGCTGTGGGCCTGCTAACATAAAAGATAAAATGATGACTGTTCTTGCTTTTGTGGAGTTTTATCCTGTGTTGTAAACAGCTCTGTTTAAAAAGAAAAATGAAGCTACATTTGAAACTGAGCACCAAGTTCTGTCTGGTTTATTTTCTCAGGACCAGCGGTCAGCAGCAGCTACTAACCAAATTCCCACCTCTCTTTTCTCTCTGTGAAGGACCCCCAAGTCTTAATCTGCTGAGGTAGCTTGCTCCTGGCCCCCAGCATCTTTGTTCCGGCGCCACAATCTAATGTACCAGAAAGCAAAAAAAAAAAAAAACCAAACTCATTGCCACTGAGTCGATTCCAACTTATAGCAACTCTATAGTACAGAGTAAAACTGCCCCATAGGGTTTCCAAGGAGTAGCTGGTGGATTCGAACTGCTGACGTTTTGGTTAGCAGCCGAGCTCTTAACCACTACACCACCAGGGGTCCTTGGTCTTCCATTAAAGAAAAAAAAAAAAAAAACCCGTTGCCATCAAGTCAATTCCAACTCATAGTGACCCTATAGGACAAAGTTAAACTGCCCCATAGAGTTTCCAAGGAGTAGCTGGTGGATTCCAACTGCCAACCTCCTGGTTAGCAGCTGAGCTCTTAACAACTGTGCCACCCGGGCGCCCTCCTGCAAAGCTGCCTACATTAAACAGGTAGCTGGTAGCACTGTCCCCTCACCTCCAATACCACTAGCGCTGTTTTTCCCAAAGTTAATTCACAGCCGTCTGTGAAGTTGAGCGTCCAGTCAGAGCCTTCGTCAGTCTGTCTGAATACTCCTGTGAGGAGACTGACCCATTTTCTGCAAACCTAGACTGAGCAACATGCAAAACTCCAGAATAAAACAGCCAAGGGAGCGGAGGACCCTTGTGTAGTTCAGCCCAGTATTAGATCAGTAAACTGCTGACTGTGTCTCACGTGTGAGGCCTGGGTCAGGCCTGACGACTCTCGACTCTGGAAATACCTTGGAGGAGAGCAGCCAAGCTAAGGTTACTTGCGTCTTGAGTGAGAACCTCCAGAAAAGCAGTTCCATTGACGTAACCTCCAGAAAAGCAGTTCTGTTGACAGATGCAGTGTGAGCTCCACTGCCCGCTGTGCACACAGGACTGAACCCAAGTCCACCTGGGGGCCAGCTCAGCCCTGCGACTCAAGCCTTGGGATCCCCTGCAAGATCTGCACCCACCTTCTCGGCCCCAGGTCACATACACAGAGTGATCCTTACCTTTCTGGACTGTTGGGGGACCTGGTCAGTGCTGGGAGCCCCTGAGAGATTGGGGTGCTGCGCCCCGCGACCAGAAACCTAGACTTGTGCTGAGCCTCCAAACTCAGCCCCACAACCTCCTGAAAGCTGTCTCCGGGCCCTGAAGATTAGGGTGCCTCGGCCCGTAAATGCTAGACCGTTCCATCTGGAGCCACTATCTCTGCTTCTCACTTCACCCCTCCTTTTTCATTCACTGTTTAAGTGTGCAGGTTTGGCCTTTTTATTTTTTACTAAACAATAATTCAAGCTCTTAGGTTAAAAAAAAAAAAAAAACCCAAAAGATTAGAAAGAAAACTTCCCCCAGCCTAGTCCCACTGCTGAAAGTAACCACTTTTAATATTTGTTGTGTCCTTGCAGGAACTTTCAAGACACACACAGGTGTATTTGCACGAATGAGGTTACAGAGTACCCACTATTCTGCAAATTGCTTTTTGCTGTCAGTCAGACAGCTTGAACATGTTTCCAGGTGTTAGCACATACAGATCTACCTCATGCTTCACATGCTATTACTGGCATTTACCTTGTTTCTGTTTATGTGCTGTTACAAATGCTTGTGACGAATATCCTCGTACATGTGTGTTTATGGACTTCTGTGATAGAATCTGTGTTATCAGTCACAAATTGTAGAAATACTAGCTTAAAGGATATGTTTTACAGTGTCGGAGCCCTGGTGGTGCAGTGGTTAAGAGCTCACTGTGAGTCGGAATCAACTTGACAGCAACGGGCTTGGTTTTTGGTTGTTGTTATTTTTTTTTTAACAATTTTGATAGATTAAAGCCTATGCCCTTCGAAAGCCTGTGCTAATTTATATTCCCACAAGGAGATTGTGAGATTGCTCCATTCTTACCAAAAGTGGTTATTGTTGAATGCTTTAATCTTCACTCATCTGAAAGAAAGGAATGGTATCTATTTGCTTTGATTCTCATTTCTTCATTTGTGAGTGACTGTGAACATCTTTTCAGAAGTTTATTGGCTCTCTTTTCTTCTGGGTTATCTGTTTAAATTTCAAAGAAATTGGCACTTTTTCCGAAATTTATGCTGTGTCTTTTGACTTTGTTTATAATCATTTGGGCCACAAGTGAAGTTTTAGTTTTATGATAGGCAGATGTATTCATCTTCTTCTTCAGGCTCCTGGATTTTATGTTCTGCTTAGAAAGATCTCTCGATCACTGTGAGTATCAGCTCGATGGCAGCAGTTTGGGTATTTTTTTCTCTTTGACTGTGACCTGCATTTTCTTCTTGGACTGTGGTAGTTTCATTAACACCAAAACCTGTTGCCATCGAGTTGATTCCGACTCACAGCGACCCTATAGGACAGAGTAGAACTGCCCCATAGGGTTTCCAAGACTGTAATCTTTACAGAGGCAAACGCCCCATCTTTCTCCCACCAGCGGCTCGTGGGTTCAAACCTCCAGCCTTTCATTAACAGCCAAGCACTTTAACTGCTGCGCCACCAGGGCTCCTTCGCAGTTTCATTATTACACTTAAACCTGATCCGTCTGGAATTTATTTGGGTGCATCTCGTGAAGTAGCAACCCAGCTTTATGACTTCATCCCAAGGACTTCTCAGTTACCCCGCACCGTTACTTCACACACCTGTTGGAGGTGACGGCTTTAGTTGCACTTGGCGTTGAGTGCTCCACCGGGTGGCATCTGCCTCTCGGCTGTGGGCTGGAGATTCGGTGCCCTCCACGCGTCTTGTTGGGAAGCCGCGTGAGCTGTTTGGTGAAGTCACGTATTGAAGGGGAAGATGCAGAGGGACAGAAGGTTTAGAATCCGCTGCAGTTTGGGTGGTTGTGGCTTGAGGGGCGCGCACGAAGAGTTTGGCTCTAGTAGGGGATGCCGCTGGCCGTGACCCACAGCCTGCCGTTCCCACGCTCTTGCCTGAATCACACACCACACCGTGCCACAAACACAAGGTTGGCAGTGTAGCTGAGCCATGAAAACGCCCTTTTTTTTTTTTAATTCTTTTTCTTTTTTTTAGTATGCTTTAGGTGAAACTTTACAGAGCAAATTAGTTTCTCATTCAACAATTTGTACTCAAATTGTTTGGTGACATTGATTGCAATCCCCGCAATGTGTCAACACTCTCCCCTTCCCACCCCGTGTTCCCCGTTTCCATCTGTCCATTTTGTCTGTCCCTTCCTGCCTTCTTGTCATTGCTTTTGGGGAAACTGCCTTTTGAAAAGGAGAGAAGAAATTTGTTTTCTAACACTATGTTTCTCTGCTGCCTGCCTAAGGCTTTTAATGAGCAGTAGCACTTTTTCTACCAACGCCTTACAAAGAACATAGAAGCAGAATAGCTGTCCTCGCTAAAGTCCACCTGGAATCTTCTTCTGCAGGGCTCCCTGAGAGCGCGGCCCTCAACTTAGAGGCTCAGGGGACCCTGAGCAGACCCTGAGCCTGAGAAATCTTAAGGAGAAAAACAACAATCTAATGTACCAGAAAGCAAAAAAAAAAAAAACAAACTCATTGCCACTGAGTCGATTCCAACTTATAGCAACCCTATAGTACGGAGTAGAACTGCCCCATAGGGTTTCCAGGGAGCTCCTGGTGGATTTGAACTGCCGACCTTTTGGTTAGCGGCCGAGCTCTTAAAACCACTACGTCACCGGGGTTTCCAAATGTACCAGAAAGAGATACTAAATCTGTAATGTTTCTGAGGGTGTGTGGGGCGGGTACTCTAAAGGAAATAACCTTGTTGTTGTTAGGTGCCATCAAGTCGATTCTGATTCGTAGCAACCCCATGTGACAGAGTAGAACTGCCCCATAGGGTTTTCTAGGCTGTGATCTTTATGGGAGCAGATCTCCAGGTCTTTCTCCTGCGAAGCCACTGGGTAGGTTCAAACTGCCAGCCTTTCAGTTAGCGGCCAAGCGCTTAGCTGGTGCACCACCAGGGCTCCTTGGAAATAACCTTAGAGCTTATTATTCATGGTTGCCAGTTCGCTGCCAGGGACAGGAAGTTCCAGATTTACTCCCAGGAAGAAGACTGGAATGAACACCCCTCCCAAACTCTGAATGGTAAACCCTGATCCCTCTCCTGACCCCACCCCCTGGCATGGTTCCCTCCTCCCTCCTAGCAATGCCCTTCGTGTGCTTTTGGGCAAGCCTGTTTTGTAAAGAAAAGGCCCTTCTTGATATAGCCAGTGTTTCTCTTGTTCTTCAGCTTTAAGATGGCCTGAGAGAAATTCCACTTCAGGCCATTTCTTTGTTAATGATTGTAGCATCACCTGAACAGATCAATTGAAATAACGAACCACTGTTGCGGTCTTGTACCGTGTCCTTGCCTACTCCAAGGACAAATCTGTCCAGAAGCATGGAAATTGCGTTAATGTAAAGCCAAACTTGGAGACCTCTGTGTGCATTTAGGAATGGACTCATGGACCCCAGCCGGGTCCTATTCTCTGCAGCACAAATGCTAACTCAGTAGGTTGGTTAGTATAAAATCTCACCCTTCTCGCTCCCCTTTTCTCGGAGAATAGTACTTAGTAAGGCTTTTTACTTACAGTTGACCCAGAGAGTGCATGTAAAGTGTGGGTTAAAAATGCTAAGAGAGTAATTTTAATTCCTTACATTTGGAAAATAACGGAGCCACTTTTGGCAGATCTTTGATGTTTTCAGGTATGCTAGGGGTAGAATTTCTAGATGCTTGTATTCCAGGCTTAGCAATTACATAAAGTAAAAATGTTATTTTAGTAGCGCGTAAACACGTAGCAGGACGGGGCAGATGCTCGCCAGACCTCAAAGAAGGCCGGGCTTCTGGGAAAGGGAGGGGGGACATAGGAATTGTGTTTTACTCCTCCATGTCTATATTCTTTACAGTAAGAATGTTTTTATTACATAATTGTGTAATAAAACAATTAAATTAGGGCAAATTTTATTCTGGCTGTAAACATACTTTCTGCTATGGCCCAACACAGAAGTCGCCCAAGCCCTCTCTGACCCCACCCTGCCTTTTTAAAACCCTTTTTGATGCAGAACGTCTCCCAGTCAGTTTCTTTTAATGTTTTGGGTTTTATAATCTGCCGACTGGTTGATTTATAATGAAGGACTGAGTAAGTCCTTTGTCCTGTTGGCCGTCAAGTTGATTCCGACTCATAGCGACCCTATAGGACAGAGTAGAACTGCCCCATAGGGTTTCCAAGGAGCGGCTGGTGGATTCAAACTGCTGACCTTTTGGTTAGC